ATATGCTAATGTTAAAATTTAAAATAAATTGTGATGGTTTTTCAACTTCGCTCTTAATTTACTTTTCGATCTGGCCAATTGAATTGTTAAAATATGTTGTGAAATATAAGATCCAGGAAATGGAGTATGAGTTCTACAACAGAGTGAGAATCACATTTAAGTCCATGAAGGAGTATTTTGTTTATGGAATTAACTGCAAATAAATAGAGAAATATACTTTGTTGGGTGCAGAATTGGAGATTTCTAGGGTGACAGATTAAAAATCCCCAATTCGATCTTAGTGTTTAAGAACTAAAGAGAGAGTTAGCCTTCAGGGGAAGGGAAGTGGGAGCCAGTATCCTTTTAGCCAAGCCACAGATTTAGGGACTAAACCTAAGATTAGCCAATGATTTTCTATAACACTGAATCAGGGTAGAGAATTAAAATTGCTCCTATGTGGCACAATACATATTTAAACCAATTATCTCATCTCAATTCACCAAAAACTCATTGTAGTGGGAAAGTTGTCTTTTCATATTAGAAAACTTCATCGCATAAACATAGTTTAGTAGTAATTAATTTTAAAACCTGCTTTTAAATTCTGCTAGTAATAAATAATTTGGCTTTGATAGTATCTTAAAAATTCAAAATTAGTGACAGTAGTTTCGTTTGATTTCTGTAAATTTCCTAGTTAATTTATCATTTCAAATTTAAACCTTCCCCGTGGGATCGATATTTGGGACTTAAACAAAAAGTTTTATATTACTTGATAACGATACGTATACTTGCATAGAATCTCAATCTTAAGAGCTTGATGTTATTATTACTAAAATACCACATCAATTTTTTGGCATCAATATAAAGCGGAGTCATCTTTATAAATTTTATACAACTATATTCAAGTGGGATCACATATATTGGTGGTTTGGGGTTTAAAAAACTCCACCATATTGAAAAGGTTAACAACATTAACATGTGGTTTAAATTCAGAGCCAAGGAATCATTGTGAATCATTTTCTTGCATGAGAAATATTGTAAAGAGCAGCACCCCTCCCTTATAACCTTTAAGGCGGGGGATTCTAAAACATGGAGGTCCATGCTTAAGGCTAGGACTTGGGCTGAAAAGTACATTTATTGGGATATTGGAGATGGTAAGGTATTTTCTTAGAAAGACAATTGGGCTATAAAGGTTGTAAATTGCAATATGAATGATGAGACTTCTGAATAAGTGGTGTCTGATATTTGGCTCAATGGAGAATGGAACACGCAAATGCTCAAGGAAAAGGTGGGGTTGGAAAATGCTACCTACATCTCCAAAATACCTATAGATAGTGCAAGACCTGATAAACTAATGCTTAAAATTTCAAATGAGCAATCATGTGCTAATGCTATTTACTTACAAATACACTCATGGGCGGGTAAGCTGATCTAGTGTAGGGCACTATCTCCTTCCATATCTTTTTTTTTTTCTTTGGAGAAATTACTTTCAATTGTTGCTTTATGATGATGTTCTGAAAATGAAAGGATTGAGGCTTCCATCTCAATGCCTACTATGTAAAGAAAAGGTAGATGGTGCCTTGCATTTATATTTTAAATGCTCTCACTCAATGATAGTTTGAAAAGCTTATTTGGGGGGGTGTTGTTGGTTTGTATTTCAACTAAAGGAAGTTCAAGAAACATAAAATAACTTTTCTGATATTAATAAATGTTAGAAATTTAAAATTGAATACTAATCATTTGCTCAACTAAGGAAAGTCAAGGCGCACAAAATAATTTAAAAGCTAAAATCACAAAAATCAAGATAACTATTAAGCAAATAATTTTAACTGCATTATAAATCAAAATTAGTATAATACCCCAAACACATTCAAACAAAACAATCATTGAATTAGAATGTATTCAACACCAAAATTAAGAAAAATAAAAGAAAAGGCTAGGAGAGATGTGATTGTAAGAAGTTTTATGTCCGAAAATTCTTTTAATCTTCTTCCTTAGTGGATTTCTCCTCTTTAGTGCTCTCATTTTCACTCATAAGTATCAACATTCGCTCACACTCTTACACTTACTCTCTAAATAAACAAAAATAAATAAGTCTCTTATTACAAACACTCCGAAAATACTTTAGAACTAATCTATTAATTAGGTCATCGATATGTGGTGTTCATCTAATGCGGAACTAAATCATTACTTCTTTCATAGCACCAAGCTTTAGTGTCAATGTGCTAGACTCCCTGTATGTTTTACTAAATTTTGCTCATTCTAGCACCAACATGCTCCAACTTGAGACACTTATGCACCTAGCTTTCTACCTTCAAGTCATTTCCTAGAGTCTTGTTCGGCCTATCTTTCCAAGTAAAGGCTTACACAATAGAGCAATCCAATTATTTTACCTAACTCTTTTTATTCAAAAAGAATTATATCGGCGTTAGATTTTAAAAACTCTTTACCCCTTTTCTTACTCCTCATAGCTCGATGTTTATTTTTGTTACTTATAAAAAGGTAAATAAAGTTTCTTAGAATAAGTGTCACGTCATTTTCATTAGCTGCAACAAAATTATTATCATCTGACTCTTAGATTCTAAAGAACTTATATTGTTTATTTTTTTTCAGTACCCGACACGGTCCGATAACACCAAATAACATTTTCTACCTTCAGTATCACTTTCTACCGCACTAGATGCAAACCGTAGCTAATTTTTTTTCTTTAGTCTTAACATATAAGTGCTTCTAATAATTTCTTGGCCTTGCTAAGGATTGCATCTTCTTTTGGATATAGAAAACCTTCGTCTGCAAGATTATTATTGCTAATGGCTCTTCGTCTTGGTTCTTATATAAAACTTCGGACAACTCAATTGGATAGAGCTCTTTGGTTGGCTTTAGATCTGCTTATTTACATGTCTAAGGTCTAAACTTCATTTTTTATATATTTGTCACCTTGTCTATTCATGAAATTGTGTATCTCACTCAAATAAGTATAAATTGATTGTCAAACTGTGAAGTTCTTTTTTATATACTTTATTTATATTAAATATTGTCTAAGATTTTACTTTAATAAGATTAATGAATCAATTGTGCTATACTTATAATTTTTAAAATTTAAATGTTTATTATTAAAATTTATTATGTCCCCCAGTTCAACCCGGTTGAACCGATGAACCTTGAAATTTTACTTCTCCGATTTGATATTCGATTCAGTTTTTAAAACCTTGACAAATATAATCATCAAATTTTAAGTGCATTAAAGATGTTCCTGCGTATATTCATATGACCAACAATTTTCCCTATTGCATGTTAGGTGAGCGTTGAAAAGCTTGACAATTTATTATTTACAACAAGTAATAGTGATATCATCACATCATGTCCGTCGAGTAATTAAACGCTTCCTTAGTGCTTTTATTTTTATATGTAACAGTCTTTTGCTTTGTGTAATTAAACATTTAGGAAAAATAAACCTCAATAACATCAGTTGCTTAAAGATATTTTAAACCACAGTTATTTTTTCCTCTTTCACCCTAATCTATTTTTGAAAGCGAAGTGTAATAACTAACAAAATGTAAAATAATCAAACATGCATTTTAATTAACCACAACAGTCCAACACAAAAATTTTCTTGAATAAAAAACATTTTACTGACCAGCAGTTTTAAATTTCTTATTATAAGCAATAATTAGATCATCTCTAGTTTCTTGTCACTACAAAACATTTCAATCAGAACAATATGTGATAGATGTATAATTTGATAAATTCACACAAACATTTGATCCCCTTAGCTTAACAAAACGTTTTCTCATATTTAATTTTAAATTGATTCTACTCCTACAATGCAATCCCAAATTTTACAAGACAATCAAATGTTCTTATATTTAATAATTTGTAAATCAAGTTTTACTTTTGCTTAAACCTAAAATACACTATAATATAAGGCTCCATAAAAATAAAATTAAAAATTAAAACTCCAACGTATCGTAAAATCTATACAAGCTATCTTGATTATCCTAATCAGACACAAAAGGTGAATATCAAGCTTCCTCTTAATCTTATATATTGCCTTGTGCGTTCCTAACAATAAACTATCATTAAATTTGTACTTAAAACGTCAACACAAACATGCACAAAACTGGTATAACTAATTTACGTACTAAATATCAACGAATGTAAGTATACAGTCTACATCTTAGCCCAACAACTTGTACATATATATTATATTTATAGTTGATTGTTACATTACTTGCTTCTATTGAAAGAGGGTTTAAGCCTCTTTCTGCAACATAGAATTTGCCAAGGTAACAAAGCCAAAGGATGAATTTATTTAACATATGGAGGATCCATAAAAGCCCACTCGAATACCTGCTCGTACTTCAACGCAGCATTCTCCCACGTAGAATCTCTGGACATCCCACGCTTCATCAGTCCTTCCCATGAAGCTTTGTGCTGCCTAAATGTAGTGATCGCAAGCCTAAGCGCCTGTTAGTAAAACACACTTATGATCAAGAAATGTAGTTCAAAACATTTTCGCTCAAAATAATTATTAATGGAACAGCATATTTTATACATAATAGTTGTAGTGCATTTTGTTGTGCAATAGAATATAAAAAATAAATTCACATAACAATCAAACAATCAAGTAAAGTGAAATACGTGCTTCGGCACAAATCTGTCTACATCCACAGAGGAGGTTATTCTAGTTGGAGAAAAGGAAAAAATCAGCCAAATTAGGTTTACAACTCAACATACTCAAATCTTCTGTAAGCCCTCATAAATAAGAGAGAATTAAGGTAGATATAAATTAGAAATATTTCAAATATATAAAAGATTATATATTTCGATCTCCTTAAATTAGGTTTCACAATATAGAAAGAACACGTAATTAGAACTCCCTGAATTATATTACCATAAATCAATCTTCCAAATATACACCTTCAAATTTTAATACTTCTCATAGCAATATTCACCTCATCTCTCAATTCCAGATAATTATAAAATGATCAAAATGAGCTCCAACACAATAACGATTGCAGTAAGATGGTTGCCTACGTACTCTCTTTCCGAAGAAATCAAGACTCGTGTCATGAGCTCAAATTTTCACCAAACTTGTACATTATGTGAAATTTTGGTTTGGTAGTAATTTTTTGAGCATGTCCGTTGGATTCTCCATCATATCTATCTTCTTCAACACAATATTGTCATCATCAGTCAAGTCACGAATAAAATGGTACCTCATATTAACATGTTTAGAACTGGCATGATAAATCAGATCTGTGCTAAGAATATCGTACTCTGACAATCACAGAATACTATCAAAAACTTATCAACACCAAAAGCATTCAGTAGGCTCTGCATGAATATGTTTTCTTTCATCACTTCTGTGACTGTCATGCACTCAACCTACAGAGTTGAAAAAGGAACAGTAGCTGAAAAATTGATCTCCAACTAAATGGATAGTCAGTCGTAAACATGCATCAATCCATATCATTGCATAGTCTTAATAACTGTAGCCTACATAAAAATCAATAATAAATCTATATCTTTCAAATACCAAGTCAACATCAACTGTGCCCCTCAAATACTTCAAAATACTCTTCATAGCCTATCAAATCCTTCATGAATCAAGCAGCAATCTGCTCACAATACAAACTGCTTGTGCAATCTCTGGTCTAGTAAAAACCAAGACAAACATTAGACGGTCCACTACAAAAGAGTAAGGAATTGATCGCATATTTTCTCTATCCTCATCATCTTTATGAAAATAATTTTAAACTCAACTGAAAAGTGTGATGCAATCAGTAAACTCACCATCTTGCTCGAGTCATCAAACTCAAACTTATTCAACACTTTCAGAACATATGCTCTTTTTGATAGCCAAACCTTTTCCAACTGCCTTATCCTTGAAAATTTCTATGCAAAGAATTCTGAGAGCTTCACCCAACTCATTCATCTCGAAATGTTTGGACAGTTGTTTCTTCATCTTAGCAACATTAGTCTGACTATCACAAGCAATCAATATTTCATCAACACATAGAAGCGAGTAGATGAACTCTTTATTGGCCAACCTTTAAAAATATGCACAACAATCGTATTAACTCTATGCGTATGCATGTCCCTTCATGAGCTAATCAAACTTCTTATACTACTGTCGTGGTGACTGTTTCAACCTAGATAAAGATTTGTCCAATCTACTATCTTTTGAGGCTTCATATCCAAATGGCTGCAACATATAGATTTTCTCTTACAATTCCCTATGGAGGAACGTGGTTCTCATATCAATCAACTCTAAAATAAAATTGTAATGTGTTAAAATTACGAAAAGAACACAGATCAATGGATGCTTGAGCACTAGGAAGAACACCCGGTCATAGTCAATCCCTTCTCGTTACACAAAACTTTTTGCAACTAATCTTGTTTTGTACAACATATCCATTTCATGAGATCATTCTGTCTTTGCATACACTCATTCGCACCTAACGATTTTTCTTCCTTGAGAAAGCTTCACCAACCTCTATATAGCACTCCTTCGAAGAGACTACATCTCTTTATCCATATCCTTCTCCAAAAATCAACATCTGAGCTCTCCACATCTTCCTTGTAATGACAAGGGCTTGAGCCTCCATGATCGAAAGTGCAGTGTAATGTGATCTCTCAACCAAGTTAGTTTTAGGATACTATGGCATCTGGTCTTGCTCCTAGCAATAGATTCCGAAGCAAACCCTCAACAACTTCTCCTCCTAAGCACTGTCAATAGGTACCTCCTGAGTTGCAACTAGATCAGGTGAATGAGTAGAAGTAGACGAACTCTATAAAACAAATGAAATTGTATCAAACTATAAATTCTACTGCATATATGTGATCTTAACAGAACTCTCCACCGGTTTCAAGTCTCAAGGCTTCAAAAAGCTTGCCTCGTCAAATGTAACATCCATATTAATGATGATCTTCCTTTCTAACTGATTATACAGCTTGAAGCCCTTGACTCCATGCCTAATATAAATGAATATTGTCTTATTTACCCGTGATTGTTTTTAAAATTCTGCATGTGATAGTAAGCTAAACACTCAAGCACCGTTATGTGCTCAAAATCTCTATTAGGATGCACCGACGATATTTCCTATGGAGTCTTCGTCCCAATAGTTGCAGAAAACGGATGGTTCACCAAGTGACAATCATAGTTTATAGCCTCAGCCTAATAAACTTTATCCAACCCAACATTAGATAACATACATCCAATTTTCTCCACCAAAGTTAGGTTCATCTTTCTGTTACCGCATTCTACTGCGATGTCGCTCGAATAGGGAAGTGGTACTCTATCGCAACTCTCTAACACTTACAAGAATGCATCCAATGCATATTCACCCCATTATCTAATCTAATACATCAGATCTTTTTCCCAGTCTCTCAATGTTAGATTCACCTCTCTGTTACCCCATTCTGCTACGGTTTCTCTCAAACAGTGAAGTAGTGCTCTATCACAACTCTGTGACACTCTTACAAGAAAGCATCCAATGCATATTCACCCCTATTGTCTAATACACTAGATCTTTTCCTCGGTTTGAATTTCAATTCAATTCTTTTAAGTTATAAAAATCTCTAGCACTTCTCTCTTACGTTTCAAGGTGTACACCCAAACATATCAGGAATAATCATCAATAAAAGAGAAAAAAAATCTCTTTGTCCATCGAATAATATCGTCCTTTTGGGCCCAAATATCTGTGTTAACATACTCTAAAATACCCTTTGTATTATTGATGACAGTACCAAAGGATACCCATGTCTTCTTACCACACACAGAATATTCACGAAAATCAAACATGTAAGAGTTGACTCCTTTGATTAATCTTTGTTTCACCAAAGTTTATAATGAAACATGTTGAACAAGAACTAGTCTCATATGCCTCAATATGTTATCATCAAAAGAATCATCAAGAACAACCACAATTTCAGTCACTGCACTATCCTAAAAATAAAAAAAATATTATGATGATGAACATCATAAAAATCAACACTCCACGACGTATCCTCATAACTCATGCCTTAATACTATCTTGCAATCATTGCTCTCTATGGACCCAACTGATAGCAAATTCTTCCTAGTATCAAGAACATGTAACACCGGTCAGGTCCCTCACAGTACTTTCCTTCATTACGATGAAGATGATGCCTACGTCAATAGTATGACAAGTTTGATCATTGCCCATAGTCACTACACTGCTATCCAACTTCTTGTACGTACAAAACCAGTCTCGATGGAGACAAAAATGACAAATAACACTAATGTCAAGAATCCAACATGAATCATCTTTATATAAATTGCGAGAAACTGCAGATAACAATACATTTAAATCCGCCTCGCCATACCTCTCCTTAATATAATGGGTTTTCATCTCAGAGAAAATACCATTATTCTTCTCCTTCAACTTCGAACAATCTTTTTTCAATTGTCAGTCTTCAAACATAAAGTATACTGATTTTTCTTAAAACTGTGCCCACAAGACTTGCACCGCCTTTGATACATATCGCAGCTGCTACTTTTTTTGCCCAATTTCATCTGAAACTTATAAAGTCGATATTTGATATGGAGATGATTCTCCATGCACTTTGTAATACATTTATTCTCTAACATCCTCCATAATTTTCTTGCAAAAGTCTTCATCATCCCATATTTAATCTCCTGGAAAAAGCAATTTCGGATCAAATCACAAGCAATTCGATTCATGTTCAACCAATTTCTTTCTGACATCTCTCTAGAATGTTCATCGATATCAAGATCTCCATTTTTAAAGAGTAAAACGCATTCAACACCTCACATTGCCACATGAAAAAGTTTTCTTTGAAGTCAAATTTCATTACATCAATCTTCGTAGGATGTGTGACCACCTGATGAATCGATGTCTTCTCCACTGTCGTTGTGGAAGTTGAAGCACCCGACGACATGCTATTATCCATGGCACCAATAGATCTTGTAGCCCAACATGCTCCAATCTCTTTGTCTTGCATCCACGACTTCACTGGAATCACAGTTGTCTGCTATGTTGATCAAGCTTTAATATCAATTGGCGTGCCAAACACGGTGTGACTTGTGGTTCAACACAAATCCGCCTACATTTATGGGGAGAGGTTATTTCATTATCAACAGGTGGGAAGAAAAGGAAAATCAGAGAAATTAGTTTTGCAACTCAACACACTCAAATCCTCCATAATCCCTCATAACAGAAGATTATGATAGAAAAATTAGGAATATTTCAAATATAAAAAATATTATATAATTAGATCTCCTCAAATAATGTTTCGCAATATAGACAGATCATATAATTACATCTCCCCAAATTATATTACCTAATATCAACCTTCCTAATATAAATATTTCCTAATTTATAACCATTAGATTTTAATACTTTTCATATTGAATTCAGCAGTTGGGTTGGGGTATGAAATGACTGTTGGTTAAAATATTCACAAATAAGAACATTTTA